CTAATGAGTCAAAACTTACATCAATAATAAAAGTATTGTAATAGTAACAGCTACTGAAAGAATTGCATTTGTAGCCCCTCTTGGTTAAATAAGATTCATAAATGAATTATAAGTTACATACGTATTTCATACTTGTACTAAAAGCTTTAAAGAGTTGCGTATAAAACAATGCATCGTTGATATGTACGATACTGTACACATCATCAGTCTTAGTAAAAGATTCTGATGTGATTTTTATTTGTCGTCATTAATAAAAATATTAAACAGTTTCTCTTAAATATGCTAATATCGAGATCTCTTGATGAAAGTATTATTCATTCTAATTGTAGTTTGTTCTTTCACTTCTTTTTGCAATCTTTTATACATCAGAAAATTGCATACCTATAAATTTTCACTGGCGTCTGTCTGTCTCCTTTCTAAATCTCGAGAACAGAATTAGATAGATGACTGGCATGATTCCATTGTTAACAGGAAAGGTATGACGTACAGGGGCAAGACAGTACTAAAATTGAGAGCGGTGCGATAAAAAATTGTAGCGCGGCATTGTTATAATGTCACAATAAATAATTACTCATTAATTAATAGTTTTTAAACGAAATTTTGTAAGACAGAAACCAATAAATAGTTTTATTTTTTCATACAAAACTTGAATATATTAACTTCCATCAAACTTATTTGTTACTTTTAGAATCTTACATAACTGCTTTGAGATAATGCATTTATGATCCATTCAACAATTTTAAGTAGTAGATTAAGTATAGATAACTCGTGATGTTTTTAGAGTCGTACCATTATTTTAATAATAATTAAACATTATGAATTTATGTATTTTTGATATAAAATTATTATACAATTAAATTCCAGCTGTATGAACTTGCAACAGGACATTTACTTGTATCTATAGTAATGGAAAATGCTCTGACAGTTGTAACTATGGATGCTGCTGAGTATTTTATCTTCTTAGGTGCTATCAACGGAAATATTTATCAAATCAATCTATTTTCTTTTGTAAGTATAGTTTTCATTTATTTCATTATTTTATACACCAACCTTAAAATTTCTTAGTATATATGGAAAATTGTTCATAAATATTCACAAATGAATTATTATTAAAATATTTTTTAGATAAAAAATGGTGAAATGCATTTAGAAAAAGAAGAAGAAGAAAACATTTTTAAAGGACATCGGTAAGAATTTTAACTTTTGGAGAATATAAAATATATTTATATAAAAAGTTCTTTCTCTAATTCATATTTAAAAACATGAGTTAGAAAATACTTTTTTTGTGAAAGCATTGCTCCATTCCTATTTCACAAAGTAAGAAGATACTAATACAGTAGAGCATCGATTATCCGAATAAATTGGGGACTGGGGTTATTCGGTAAATCGATTTTTTGGATAACCGATTATGTACGAAAAAATGTGTTAACCTATCCCATGTTGAAATTTGTTCAGATCCTGGCACGTCCTTACGTACCCTCTCGTGGTCGCCAGTGCCAGCTAAAACACGCACATCAACAAAAATAATAATGGAGTAGCCCAAGACATAGCCAAAGATTGCAGTGCCACAGCACTAGCGGAAATTTAAATTTTCCGACCGGAAAGGTTTCGGTTAATTGACGTTTCGGTTGATTGATATTTGTATAATCGATGCTCTACTGTACTAATAAACTGCATTGCAAAAAACATTTAACAGATTATAAAATACTGTACTTACTAATCCGGTGATCAAAATATATATATCGTGAAAATATTCATTGAAATTATCTCTCTCAGCATTTAAAAGAAAGTATGGTACAATAGTGATATTGTTGACAATTTCTGATAAAATACTAATTGTAACAATCGTTAAGAGAATTTCTATACTAATAAACTCTTCAAGAATATCATCTTACATAAAAAAATAATGTGAAATAACAGATTACACTTGCAGATTAAACAATTTATTAAATGATATTGAACCATGAAGTTTCTTAGAATATTAAATGAATTTAAGAAGTAAGTTAATCCTATTTTTCTAGTATTAATATCAATTTATGTGGAAAAAAGTGAAATTTATGTTGGAATAAAATTATCAGCGGGAGTAGCTTCACCGTCTTTTAGCAGAGCGGCTTAATTAGGAAATGCGTCCATTGTAAATAAAATTATAAAAGTTATTTTCTAAATAAGATCTCATAATAGACGGGAAAGTTATGCAACTGTTTTTGTGGGATTTTTTTTCATTAAAGATGCAAATTTAAATTAACAGCGTTTAAAAAAAGGTATATATCTAACATGAAATTAATGATTAATATATACATTTAATTTGCAATTTTTAATTTACATATAAAATAATAACTCATCTTTAAAATTCTAGCAAGCAAGTTACATGTTTGTCAGTGTCATTGGACGGACAGATTTTGCTTTCCGGTTCTGACGACGAAACTGCAAGACTGTGGAGTATTCAGAGCAAGCAATGCATAAGAATATTTGAACATAAAGGTATTTATTTGTTAATTTTAATTTATGAATTGTACGAAGGACGAGCGACAAATTATTCGAAAGAGTTTGGCTTATCTCCCAAAAAAAATGCTAAAAATATATCAATAAAAATAAAATTATAATACAAATTGATTTCATAAAATTTATATTATTATTATTATTATTATTATTTATAAAATATTTAGAAGATGGATTTTTTTTTGCATAGTCTGTTCACAAATTTTGGTGACAATCTACACAGCCACAGAGTGATCTGAATAGGTTAACTCTAATTATGGCCACCCCGTATAATACAATATATCAATCTTTCGAAAATTCTTTATATTAAAATTATTAAATTATTATACAAATATTAAATTTCAGGTCCTGTTACAAATGCTCTTTTAATTAGAGCTCCGAGCAATTATGCTAAATCAAGATTACCTGTGAGCGCTTTTCAGAGACAGCTCTATAAGCTGAATGAAGAAATGGAAGAGAATCAAACACAAAGAAGGAAAACAGTTGTTCAAATTAAAAAACATGAACCGTCGGAGGTAATGATACATACTTTTTAGAAATTTAATGATATCATATAAAGAAATTTTTTTTAAAATTTTGAAGTTCAAATTCTAATCATTAATATATGATGTGATACAGGTTATAAAAGAAAATGAAATATATTTTCCAGAATGTAGAGATGTAAGTATTTATTTTATAAATAAATTTTATATATTAATTTGTACTTTACTTTTACACTATCTAATCAATGATTATTGAATTGTGATATAACAATTGTTTATAAGATGTTTGAGGATGGATGGGTTAAACTTAGTTTTCCTCATCCTTCTATTAAGTCATTGCTATAAAGTAGTGTATATTTGTTTATAGTCCTGTACAAATGATGAGAAATTTATCATTGTTGTTGGTTTCAACCAAACTTGATGTAATGAATTATTTTACTGGGATTTGGAGTATAAATAATTCTCTTATTTCTGTCGTTATTCTTAAACCAAATAACTTTTTTGTGCACTATTCTATGCCTAATTTTAATTATCTAGAATCGCAATGATTAAATTAACAACACAAGTGTGAACACTAGCCGGGGATACGGAGTAGTTTTACTCGTGAACCACTTAATTGGCATCTAGTTGTTAAACTAGTCCTCTGTCTAAAAGAATGGCTTTTCCTAATTCAAGGAAAATCGAGGATGGAGGGCTTTAACTAATATGTTAATTTAAAGCGGAATTTGATGATTGCGTAATCACCTTTTCCTTACGTCAGGATTCCAGTTAATCAATTATTTTATATGCGGATTAACACGTGTTATCCCTAAACTCGTGAATATCTAACATTAATATTAAAGAAGCCATATTTATATAACAAATCAAAATATTTAATGGATCAAAAATATAAAATTATACAAAAGAATGAATCTAAACCTAATCTTAATTCTAATTCTTAACCTAAGATTATCTCTAAACCTAAAGCGTGAGAGAGAGTTTACAACAATCTATCAGAGTTCATATTACCTTCTTCTTTAGGTCTTTTGTATTGAAAGATCTAAAGAAGTCTTTCTCTATATCTATTTGAGGGTCTTCTTCCTTTCTTGATTATTTCTCTTCTAATATTTTCTTTAGAAAGTCCTTTTAAATCTTCTCTTGTATACTTCGAATGCAGTACTCTTTCATAAGATGAGATCGTATGACCTATCTTTGATGGACTGCCTCTATCATATGGCGAGCTTCTTGCGTGGCAATACCTATCTTCGACGGACTGCCTTTGTCGTATGGCTAGTTCTCTTCTTCAGTATGGCAAACCTCTTTTCGACGGACTGCCTTTGTCGTATGGCTAGTTCTCTTCTTCAGTATGGCAAACCTCGTTTCGACGGACTGCCTTGAATGGCAGGAAAACGTCCCTTTTTATTTGCTCTCCAGTAACGTGTGCAAAACCTCGACTCATCTTGAGTTGACCTGGGAAAGGAAATCAACTTCCTTTCAAAATTGGATGTTTTTTCCATTTTTTAGAAACTTCGTTGAAGTTGAAAAATATTAATTTCTCTTAATTTTCTAATCTTTTCTTCAACTTGTTATTTTAATTAAAATGGCCCTCTCTTGAATTTCCATAGTCTCACACAAGTATTTGTAATATCATTTATTCATTGCACCAAAAAGTTTTTTGGTTTACAAATCATGAAAGAAATAAGAGAATTGATGTGATGGAATCTTTTATCTATGCATTCTCCCGACGTAGAAGTTTGACTACTTTACTTACAAGAAATTATTTCCCTTATATTTAATTAAACATAATATTTACACAATTTTTTTTTTGAGATATTTAAATTTAACATTATTAAATTAGTAAATATAACATTCGATGAGCCAAAAATTTTGAAATATATACATCATTGATACTATTAAATTTTGGTAATTAAAGGTCAAGGGGTGAGGAGATAGAGGGAGTGATTTGTCATATCTGAAATGAGGTCAGACTTAATGAAAATTTTACTCATTAGTGAGGTTGAGGCCGAAGTTTTAAACGCAAAAACATGTACATCGGACGTTCAGTGCCGCTTTCCTGTAAACCTAGAAGTTTGACAATGGTGTTTGGAATGTCGAGCATGATTCCACTGACTATCCAAACACCATTGCCAAACTTGTAGGCTTACAGGAAAGAGGCACCGAACGTCTGACAAACACGTTTTCGCATTTAAAACTTCAGCCTCAACCTCGCTATTATTGGCATTTACAATTCTTTTAAAAACTTATTACTACCCTCAAAATTAAGCCTTTTGCCTTTTACTTTCCTGGCTATTATGTACACAATAAGCTTGTTATGTATACATAATAAGCTTATTGTGATATTGTCACAATGCCAGACTTCAATTTTTAATTGTATTTTTAATGATTTTTAAATTTAAAACATATGCTCTCCACCTCAAATTAGTAGTTTCTTGCCCATGTACATCATACTTTTCCTTTAACAATAGAGTCGTGTCTGTCATCTATCTAACACCTTTGGAATCTATTTTGTTTAATATCTCAGGATGGGGTAATGATTAAAAAACAAAATTTTGAATAGTAGCTTGTGTATAAGAGGCATTGATGCTATTAAATTTTGACAGTTAAAGGTTACGGGGGTGGAGAGATAGAAAGGGGAGATGTATCATTTCTTGAGAGGAGTCGCGGACTTAATGAAAATTTTGCTCATTGTTAGCATTTACAATATTTTATAAAGCTCGTTTCTACCCTCAAAATTTAGCTTTTTGCCATTTTATAATAATTAATAATATAAAAATTTTTAATAAAAATGTCTCATAATGGATGGCACAACACACAATTTTATTTATTTAATAATACAACAGTTATTTTTAAAATAAAATCCCATAATAGCTGGGAAAGTTATACAACTTGTTGCTAGAATTTTTTATAATAATTAATATAAAATTATTTTTAAATCACATAAGAGTGCCACACACAATTTTAACTTTGAGCTAGTGTCTTAGTGTTTTTTAAATAGAGAAATTTATCATTATTTAACCAAATTACTCATTTTAAATTATATACCCAGTCGACCCCCCTATAACGCTGTTGATTATTCCGTTTTATATGAATTCCATGTTGTATGAGTCACTTAGATTTTACATATACGTGTTCTGGGCTGTGGACGGCTCAGGTATTTGTAAAATCTAAGTGACTCATACAACATGGAATTCATATAAAACGGAATAATCAACAGTGTTATAGGGGGTCAACTGTATTGTAGTATAAATGAAAATTATCATATTAACTGTATAAGTCAAGGACTTACTGTTAGTTTACTTTTTATGCAATATTTGTTTTAATAAAACTGTTTTATTTAAGTTAAAAATAAGTTATTCATTTGTTAATTTCTGACTACAGAGTTTTATCATTGAATTCTGAAGCGCCACAGCCACGTCATATTTGGTCTCATCATTCACTACAGGTTACCGATATTCATGTAGGACTTGGTGGTATTAGAGCTAGAGTTGCTACTTGTTCTTTAGATCAAACATGTAAAGTGAGTAAAAATAAATTAACTATTTATATAATAGATATATTTAATATTTTTGTAATTGGAAGTATTTTTAGTAACTGGTATTTTCTATAAACATTAATAACCCAAAATTACATTTTAATCATTAAAAATTAATAAAATCAGTTCTTTTTACCTAATAAATGTTAAACTTATCAGTTATTTTTATATAAAACAAATTTATTGTCCATTACAGCATTATATTTAACCTATAATGTTTTCCCTGTGCCATTATCATGCATGATCAATTGTTCGGACTTGAAAATAATTTTTAATATACTAATTTCTACTGTTATAAGTATGGAAATTCTTAAGTTGTGGAGTATATACGCTACTAATGTACCAAAACTTTAGTTTGTATGCTATTTTTCTTTCATCTTGAGTTAATTTCAATAAATATAGCTTATACAGTATTACATTTAGATCAAAACTTTGTAAAAACATTTTGATGTAGTGATTATTTGCTTTTTCCTGCCAGCCTAAGATGGAAAACCTACTTAAAGTAGAAAGTTCGCAGTTTTTATTGTACAAGAGAAAGTTATAAGAATGGATATATTAGTTGCCGTTGTTATTGGATAGAGTTGGCTTTTGTATGCCGATGCTATAGCTAATGAGTCAAAACTTACATCAATAATAAAAGTATTGTAATAGTAACAGCTACTGAAAGAATTGCATTTGTAGCCCCTCTTGGTTAAATAAGATTCATAAATGAATTATAAGTTACATACGTATTTCATACTTGTACTAAAAGCTTTAAAGAGTTGCGTATAAAACAATGCATCGTTGATATGTACGATACTGTACACATCATCAGTCTTAGTAAAAGATTCTGATGTGATTTTTATTTGTCGTCATTAATAAAAATATTAAACAGTTTCTCTTAAATATGCTAATATCGAGATCTCTTGATGAAAGTATTATTCATTCTAATTGTAGTTTGTTCTTTCACTTCTTTTTGCAATCTTTTATACATCAGAAAATTGCATACCTATAAATTTTCACTGGCGTCTGTCTGTCTCCTTTCTAAATCTCGAGAACAGAATTAGATAGATGACTGGCATGATTCCATTGTTAACAGGAAAGGTATGATGTACAGGGGCAAGACAGTACTAAAATTGAGAGCGGTGCGATAAAAAATTGTAGCGCGGCATTGTTATAATGTCACAATAAATAATTACTCATTAATTAATAGTTTTTAAACGAAATTTTGTAAGACAGAAACCAATAAATAGTTTTATTTTTTCATACAAAACTTGAATATATTAACTTCCATCAAACTTATTTGTTACTTTTAGAATCTTACATAACTGCTTTGAGATAATGCATTTATGATCCATTCAACAATTTTAAGTAGTAGATTAAGTATAGATAACTCGTGATGTTTTTAGAGTCGTACCATTATTTTAATAATAATTAAACATTATGAATTTATGTATTTTTGATATAAAATTATTATACAATTAAATTCCAGCTGTATGAACTTGCAACAGGACATTTACTTGTATCTATAGTAATGGAAAATGCTCTGACAGTTGTAACTATGGATGCTGCTGAGTATTTTATCTTCTTAGGTGCTATCAACGGAAATATTTATCAAATCAATCTATTTTCTTTTGTAAGTATAGTTTTCATTTATTTCATTATTTTATACACCAACCTTAAAATTTCTTAGTATATATGGAAAATTGTTCATAAATATTCACAAATGAATTATTATTAAAATATTTTTTAGATAAAAAATGGTGAAATGCATTTAGAAAAAGAAGAAGAAGAAAACATTTTTAAAGGACATCGGTAAGAATTTTAACTTTTGGTTAAATATGTTTATTATTTTTAGTACAGCAAAATAATAAACATGTTTTCTCACCCTGTTCGTGTCCTTCCTTTCTTGTGTTTTGTGTCATCATTACTGCACCAGGAAAGTGTTTCCGACCATGCACTGCTATGTGATTTCCCATCGTCTAGGTGTACTCTATCTCTCCTGAAAGTTTGTAACCGGTGTACTGATACACCCTGTATAAGCATGTACTGTACTTTCAACGGTGCATCACGGTCTTTATCACACACAAGATTTTTTTCAAAAAGTTTTAATGCTGAAAAACAGTTTTTTAAGAGTATTTTTTAACCAATTTGGTATCAATAAGTTCAAAGTTTGATTAGTCATTAATAAATATCCATCGATAAAAATATTTTTTGGAAATTTAATATAGCATCTTTATAAAAATACATCTTAAAAGTTTGATGTTTTTAGATTGGAAACAGTTGTAGAAACATGTCGCGTATACAAAACGAAACATTAAAATTTAATATATTAGATAGATTTTTGTTGGTTCCGAAAGAACGTATATACTTTCATTTTGTATTGGGGTGGCAACCAATAGGGCCCACCAGTGTTATGTGATTTTAACCACTGAACACTGGTTGATTGTGTGTTTGCACCTCACCAAAGGGCTGACCACATAGTTTTCTGAGTTTTATTCATATTTGTAACACCTAAATAAGGCCAGTTTCTCATAGAAAATCCTTTCCGGAGGAATCCTTCTTTGGCAGATTACCCATGTGTTGCATTGCCCTATACAAATAAAACAAAGAATTGTCACTGGCATTGCTTTTTATAATATAAAAAAAAAAAATAAAAAACAAAATGTGAAGTTTATTCTTGGGAAAAGTATCCTTGGAATTCATGGAATAAANGATTATCCGAATAAATTGGGGACTGGGGTTATTCGGTAAATCGATTTTTTGGATAACCGATTATGTACGAAAAAATGTGTTAACCTATCCCATGTTGAAATTTGTTCAGATCCTGGCACGTCCTTACGTACCCTCTCGTGGTCGCCAGTGCCAGCTAAAACACGCACATCAACAAAAATAATAATGGAGTAGCCCAAGACATAGCCAAAGATTGCAGTGCCACAGCACTAGCGGAAATTTAAATTTTCCGACCGGAAAGGTTTCGGTTAATTGACGTTTCGGTTGATTGATATTTGTATAATCGATGCTCTACTGTACTAATAAACTGCATTGCATAAAACATTTAACAGATTATAAAATACTGTACTTACTAATCCGGTGATCAAAATATATATATCGTGAAAATATTCATTGAAATTATCTCTCTCAGCATTTAAAAGAAAGTATGGTACAATAGTGATATTGTTGACAATTTCTGATAAAATACTAATTGTAACAATCGTTAAGAGAATTTCTATACTAATAAACTCTTCAAGAATATCATCTTACATAAAAAAATAATGTGAAATAACAGATTACACTTGCAGATTAAACAATTTATTAAATGATATTGAACCATGAAGTTTCTTAGAATATTAAATGAATTTAAGAAGTAAGTTAATCCTATTTTTCTAGTATTAATATCAATTTATGTGGAAAAAAGTGAAATTTATGTTGGAATAAAATTATCAGCGGGAGTAGCTTCACCGTCTTTTAGCAGAGCGGCTTAATTAGGAAATGCGTCCATTGTAAATAAAATTATAAAAGTTATTTTCTAAATAAGATCTCATAATAGACGGGAAAGTTATGCAACTGTTTTTGTGGGATTTTTTTTCATTAAAGATGCAAATTTAAATTAACAGCGTTTAAAAAAAGGTATATATCTAACATGAAATTAATGATTAATATATACATTTAATTTGCAATTTTTAATTTACATATAAAATAATAACTCATCTTTAAAATTCTAGCAAGCAAGTTACATGTTTGTCAGTGTCATTGGACGGACAGATTTTGCTTTCCGGTTCTGACGACGAAACTGCAAGACTGTGGAGTATTCAGAGCAAGCAATGCATAAGAATATTTGAACATAAAGGTATTTATTTGTTAATTTTAATTTATGAATTGTACGAAGGACGAGCGACAAATTATTCGAAAGAGTTTGGCTTATCTCCCAAAAAAAATGCTAAAAATATATCAATAAAAATAAAATTATAATACAAATTGATTTCATAAAATTTATATTATTATTATTATTATTATGATAAAAANCTAGAATAATTTTATTTAATATTTAATTTGATTTAACGGAAATAATCTTCAAGGTTTAGGAAGTTAAGTTTGTAGAACGGGGTTGATTGCGGATGCTTGCGCTGCTTTCTTGATGATCCTAGGAGCCAATTGAACTTCCTGTTGGAATGTTTTAACGACCTGATGAAGACGAAAATAATTATCGTCGAAAGCGCTTGTCGAAGTTAAGTTTTGTTTAAAAGATAATATACTACAATCTTTCATTATCCGAGACAACATAAATAATTTTATATCGTCTATTATAAGGAATCTTCTATTGAAGTCATGAATTTTTATTAATAACAATTTTTAAGTTTATTGAAACAAATTAAAAAGTTTTTAAAAATATATTCAAACAGACTGATTATATCAAGTTTCTAACAATACTAAGAGGTTTTTGTGGTTATTTTATCATAAAACCTAGCATATAAATCACACGAGCATTAAAGACAGAAAGCTAAGACGAGGACGGAAAAAAATCTGTTTATTACTCGAACACATGGCATAGTTAAAATTATTTTTTTACGTAGTAAAATTAAGAGTCTGGTAAGTAGATACGACAAGTATTTTTTCTTACGTTAGGTGATTAAATGTGTTGTTAAAGTATGGGTTAAATTCTAAATAGAGATCTCCCTTCACTTTGGACAAATTACTAAAATTACGCAGTTATAATAATTAAAATTGAAGACGAAGGAAAGATCAGGTCGTCGTGGAATGTATTTCGGAAAATGAAAGTTAAAAGGGGACTGTTTCCGTGGACTTTGTCTTTAATTTTAATTAATTAATAGGAAATTTTACCATCTAAATTTTATAAATTAAACAGTTATAATGATAAGAGCAACATTTTAATGTAAAGTAACTATAAAAGAATATAAAAATATATATAAAAAGGTTATTTAAACTTTAAAATTGAAATATGTTTGTCGGGACATTCTTTAAAAAATTAATGTAAAGTTATAAGTATATTAATTTTTGTAAAAGTATATAGAAATTTAAAAATAGGATAAATTAAAGCTGTTAAAATAAAGAATTTCAAACGAAATTACTTGATAATTTTAATTATTCTTTAAATTATTACTATAGGAGAAAAGTAATTTTATACATTATTTTGAATTGCAGTCTTGACTTATGAAACTGGTAAGCAAAGAATATGTAAGAGAAGAATGTGTATCAAAAACATATTAATTCTGAATACTTATATAATAACGCATAACGCGTACAACATCTTATGATGTCATTAATGTTAGTGCATTAGGAAGACATTACCAAACAGTATTAAGTCTAGTACTTCTTGCACAAAAGTTATGAAGGTAAACAATGTATTAAACGAAAATGCTATTGATTCAAATGAATAATATCGGAAAATAAGCAGTAGTTTATTGCATTGAAAACAGAAATATTTACATTTAAGTTGTAAGCGGACGTAGCAGAGTTTACTATATTATTTTTAATTCAATTTAAATTTTAATTAATCCATTTTTAAAAGTGTATCATTCATATATTGAGATGAAAATCTATGCTAATTGGTAGAGAATTAATATTACAATAGCTCTCTGCCATTTGACTGGCATTAAGCAGTGACCTAAACTTTCTGCTCTGATTATATGTACATATAAATATTATATTAATTATATATGGGTCACAAACGATAAATATTTAATAATTTTCTTATCGCGAATAAGATATTTAACAAGAGTTTATATTTATAACTAATATTTTAAAATATCTTTTATACAGTTTCGAACGAGAAGCGACATCCAGAGCAAAGAAGAAGTAATTAAAGAAAATAAAAAATTATTAGAGATGAATCGTCAGTTATATTTGTATTCGATTGATACGGTACTAAATAGTATAAAATAAATTATTAGTTATATATATATTTGCTTTTATTTGTATTTGATAATGAATTCACAGTATAAATTATTTTAAAACAAATTATACAAAGATTTGCCATTAAACAATACTCAAAACAACTGTCTTTTGGCATTAAAACTTTTTAGTAAACACAGTTTTATACAGGGTGTATCAGTACAATAGGGTGAGAAAACATGTTTATTATTCTTAGTACAGCAAAAATGCTGGGACGTCTTTGGCTGGTGTACGTGATAGATGTCGCTGCGTAAACAGAAGCATCACATGACGTTTCATATGCGCAAGAATAATAAACATGTTTTCTCACCCTGTTCGTGTCCTTCCTTTCTTGTGTTTTGTGTCATCATTACTGCACCAGGAAAGTGTTTCCGACCATGCACTGCTATGTGATTTCCCATCGTCTAGGTGTACTCTATCTCTCCTGAAAGTTTGTAACCGGTGTACTGATACACCCTGTATAAGCATGTACTGTACTTTCAACGGTGCATCACGGTCTTTATCACACACAAGATTTTTTTCAAAAAGTTTTAATGCTGAAAAACAGTTTTTTAAGAGTATTTTTTAACCAATTTGGTATCAATAAGTTCAAAGTTTGATTAGTCATTAATAAATATCCATCGATAAAAATATTTTTTGGAAATTTAATATAGCATCTTTATAAAAATACATCTTAAAAGTTTGATGTTTTTAGATTGGAAACAGTTGTAGAAACATGTCGCGTATACAAAACGAAACATTAAAATTTAATATATTAGATAGATTTTTGTTGGTTCCGAAAGAACGTATATACTTTCATTTTGTATTGGGGTGGCAACCAATAGGGCCCACCAGTGTTATGTGATTTTAACCACTGAACACTGGTTGATTGTGTGTTTGCACCTCACCAAAGGGCTGACCACATAGTTTTCTGAGTTTTATTCATATTTGTAACACCTAAATAAGGCCAGTTTCTCATAGAAAATCCTTTCCGGAGGAATCCTTCTTTGGCAGATTACCCATGTGTTGCATTGCCCTATACAAATAAAACAAAGAATTGTCACTGGCATTGCTTTTTATAATATAAAAAAAAAAAATAAAAAACAAAATGTGAAGTTTATTCTTGGGAAAAGTATCCTTGGAATTCATGGAATAAAATTAAAAAGTAGGAAGTATTTCTGGTTTTTGAGTTTGACCTATGAAACATTGGTTCAAGATTGCATTGAGTCTACACATTTAAGTTTATATCAAATAATATTTGTAAGAAATTGATTATGAAAATGTCAGAGAGATGAAAGAAATGTTAGAAAACGAGACACAGCGAAATAAATTTTTTACGCAAATATATGACAGAAACTTTAGGAGTGAAAGAATATTTATATTATGTATAGAAGCATTTAGTTACAAGGAAACAGGAAGAGTAAACTACATTTAGACATTTATAAAACTAGATTTAGTTACATTTATAAACAGGAAGAGAGAATATTCATTTATTTAATGAATGCATTTTGAAATAGAGATAATTCATAACAACAAAATAGCACTTTAGAAATGATAAATCATAGATTTTATTGTATTTTATGATATTTATATGCAGTTTTGATTTATAATGTAGTTACTATTTTATATTGTGATATTTATTCATTTGCCTAACTTTTGCGCAAAGTAGTTTTAAGATTTCAGTTGGAATTTTAAATGAGATAATGTTCTTATTTTCAAAAAATTGTATTAAATATAGAAGAAATTGGTCTATTGCCAACCGCTTCTATACTTACAACGCAGATAACAACAACAACAACACAAAAAATCCGGCAATTGACTGTAAAATGTTAATTTATAGAAGCTTATCCAGTTATTCGGTGGTGTATTATAAATGAAAAACAAAGAAAATTAGGAAAATTATTCTTAGTGCTTAATATTGAATAATTTTTGAAGTTTTCTTAGATATTTAATTAATGAAAATGAATATATATTAATTAAGAATATTAATTATTCCTTAAACTGTATGGTTAAAGTTCTACAATAATAATTTGATTATTCGTATCATGTTCGTACATTTGCATGATGAAGTGTTTTAGCATCTCAAACTCTCCTGAATATATTATATTACTTATTTAGAACAGTGTTTTCTAACCTTTGTTCAGTAGGTGACCTATTTTTTAGTATACTGGAAGATCCTGAAATTATCAAGGAATATATTTTATGATCTTTACAGAGGTCTATCTAACTGGAAAATGATGATTTAGATGAATAGAAAGTAGGATTAATAAGATATTTAATTAAAAAAGTGATAAAATTTTTCAAAATTCGGACACAATGTTCTCTTTAATACGACAATTATATTGTTTTACACAAGGGAGGGAGGGTCCGTAGTCCTGGTGCTGACCAGTGCTGGAATCTTTATCTTGGCACCAGTCCCTATAGTGACACTGGTCTATTTTAATCATTAAATCTAGAAAATCAATATATATATATAATTTCAAGAGCATTATGAAAGGGAAACACGTGCAAAACTAAGAGCATCATATCAGTAAAAGGTATAGAAGAGAATAGGAGGCCCTAGTTGATGAATGATGAGGTGATAAATGCATCTGCTTCCCACTCTAGGACAGTGGATCTCAAAGTATAATCCATAAGATCATCGGTGATCCTTGAGTATGCATCAGATGTTCCGCAGACTATCCTAGTTATTTTTTCCAAAAAAAAATATATATTTAGCCGGAAGAAAATATTTTTATGAATTAAACATCTTTTAGGTCATTAAATAAGCAAAATATCTTGGCATGCGTCTAAGGCGACTTTTACGGAACGAGAAGTGAACGAAGACGCGGGTGGTCCGAAGTTCATTTGAGATTCTGTTTAAATGGCCCGCGGATTGTTTAGCTTTAAGAACTATTGCTCTAGGGTACCAAAGTTTTACTGTTTTTAAAATAGAACTACACATTAATATATGCATGTATTTTAAAATACAAAATATTTAAGTATGTGTGTATGATTATTAGGTAAAGGGTTCTATACCATTCAATGTATTTGCTCTAAATTTGGTATGAATATTCTTCGATACCCCAGAAAAGTACTGTGGTGTCACCTCTCCCAATCACTCCTAAATCCCATCCCCTCTTAAGCAGTTTTTTTGTGTTTTTGCACTTTCATTATTGTAAATATTCGGCTCAATAAATTTACATTTTAGTCACTGAGACCGTTGTTTTTATTACCTTTTCTCAACCCCACCTCGCCAATCCCCCACCATCAAAAGCCAGAGCAACACAACTATGGAAATAAATTCTTCCATAAATGTAAAATAATGAGGAGACAATTTATAAAAGCATTATGATAATTTATTGAAAATTCTTTTGATACAATGATATTTTTTTCTTTAATATTTGCAATATATTTAATTACAATATAATAATTAATAAAATGAATTAAAATATGTATTTGTGATTAAATCAATTTAGAAATTAAATCAAGGAAAATGATTAAATTGTTTTTGTTTTTTTTAGATAATCTATTTTAAACATTTAATAATCTGCGTATGCGGATAATGTCAACGGTCGTAACAGGGAAACGTTTGGATAAAATTCACCCGATTAATGTTATGTATGTATATATAATTAACAAGCCTTCTATTCTATTGTATTCTGTTCAATATGACATAAATAAATATATGAATATGTAAAATTTATAGATGGAAATGTGTATTTATGTTTCCATTCCTTTGGAAAATGAAAGTTTGTATCACATTTGCTTTATTGCTCTTTGATGACGATGCAATCTGTCTTGAGCACTTCCAAAATTAGGCAGTTTGTCCGGTTACATAGGACGTGGAAGCCGAAGTTTGCGGTTGAACTCTAAGTTTCTTCCACCTATAATAGAAAAAGCTGTCGGAATCTAAAAGTTTTAGATAAATTATCAAACAAATTTAAACCAAACTCACGAAGTGTAGATCACGTAACCCAGGACGATTAAAAGAAAACACCCTAATCCTATCGAAATGCATATTACTGCTATGATCCAATCTTCCATACCTTCTTCTACGGCTAATTCCAGTGACACTACTAATGAGAGGATACATATATTGTAAGTAAATTTCAATTTTATATATACAAATATATATGTGTAAACTAACTCACATTTGCATTTTCCACTCCCTTTACATTTAGGCATGAGCGGTTGCGGTATGCATTGAAGTGTTCCACTTATTTTACACGGTCTTTCTTCGTTATAATGATTTCTTACATAAAATGATTTGCTGTCAAGTTCTTCTGGATCTGGTATGCTTCTCTCTTCTACAATTTCATAATTAATATATATTAAATTTAAGAATTATTATTATATTGAGTTATTTTCATCCTAGTAATTGATCCCAGTTTACATGTTTCAATGCTGAGGTTTGGAATAATACAAATTTTTCTACCTGATTCAGTACAGTCAACTTCCCCTTCTCCAAAACACTTTATCCAGACATCACAATCAAGTTTCTCTCCAGCAAAACTACATTCATTAACTATAAATAAAATTAAATGGTTATTAATATTTAAATTACTCTTAAGAGTTTAGGACATCACAAAAACTTACCCGAAAATTGAGTAATATTTAAAGAGTTGTTAGATTCTTCGGGTTGAAGTTCCGTACTAGGACTTAGAGAAGTTAAGGTAGATGTTTTCCATGTGCTAACGAGTGGAAGGTATGTGGTTACGAGCAATTCTTCCGTCTCTGTACTCTCCTCGCTATCTATCTCTGGAGAAATTGTTGGAGATTGTGTGGACGTTGCCATTGTTGTATGCGGTCGAAAAGTTGTTGTCGTCGTGGTGGTGGTAGGCACCGTAGTAGCCGGTTTTGTTGCTTCCGTTAATGCGGTTTCCATCGGTGTTGTCATTTCTATTAGTGTTGCAGGTTTCGTAACAGCTTTGGTGCTCTCTAAATTCTCAATTGACACACCGTCCGATGCGGAACCAGTCGACATTTCGGATACAGAAGTATTGTGCACGGTGTCTTCTTTATCTTCATTAGCAATAGAAGTTGTTTCTGTTAGTGTTACAGTGCTGACATTCTCAACAGGTGAAAGTGTAGATGTAATTATTTGTGTCTGTCCCTCCATTTCAGCTTCTGTTAAATTTACAATATCCACAACTGTTTGGCATTGAACACCTGTAAAAAAAAAAAAGGAAGAAAATTAATAAAAAATCTTCAAGAAATTTGGTTGAATTATTTCTGTCAATCTCAACTTCTTTATGTATCAGTATATAAATATAAAAGAGTATAATAATAATAGGCTCCAGAGCACATGAGTGGAATCACAATGTCATTTCTATGACAACTACTCAGGTAATGACACATTAAGTAAAGAGGCCAGACTCACTGACTATAAATTCTTTTTATTATTTATTTAATATATTTTTTTTTTTTTGCCTTGACCAGCTTGGTTTATGCATAATAAATTAGTTGGATAATCCATCATTAAAATTAACATTCATTAACAATAGTAAACATGTTAGGGAATTAATGTAAGCTAATTTATAGATCATCACATGCTCTACTTACTCAACCATTACCATTTAATATGGCAATTTTTTAAAGTGGAGTCACCCAGGAGTCATTTAGAAAGTTAAAAGGGTGTTCAATTAGCCATGTTTTAACATGATTTAATATATTTTAGTAGTAGAAATTGCCAATGAGTTAATAGATACACGACATGCCGAAGATGGGGAAGACGTATCGAGTGTTCATTAAGCAAATTTTAGACCAATTTAACTCTTTAATCTTATCGTCCCACGCTCGGAAAATAGGAGTAATTTCTATCCAAACTATTGAAAAATTTAACGATGTATTATTAATTATTAAACAGAAAAACTAAGCAATGTTTGTCATACTCCAAAGAATCTGGCCACACCTATTAACTCGATTTTTTAAAAAAGAATGATCGATATTAAAAGCAATTTAATTAATTACTCGATCGTAATGCCGGACAGACAACCGAACGGGCTACAGATTTCTAGTCTTATCTATAAGTTTAAAGTGGTTTTTCTAGGAAAAATTAGTTTTAGAATAAGCGTGATCGATGATATTTATCTTATACATTTGCTTTGTATATAAAAGTATTTTCAATGTCATTTCTCATTTATTTAAATTTAAAATTACTATTATTATTATTAATATTATTATTTCTTTTATTTAAAAATAAAAAAAATGTATTCCCTTCGCGGAATTATAAGATAAGAAACGATTTCCTAGAAGATACATTTTAGATCCATTGAGATAAATTGATTTTTTTACGTAGTTTTTTACTCGTTTAAATCAATTTTACAAAGGGTTTAATTGTAAATTATGGAGTTGGGTGTTTAGAGGCACGATATTTCGAGGTTATTTATTCGACAGACGGACGGAAACGTACGTTACTAAAACGCTTTCGTTAATATGTTACTGAAGTTCATAAACTTATTATTATTATTTAGAAGATAAATGAGCTTCTCGTACGTGTTTTTAATAATAATTATAAGGTAAATGCTGAATTTAAAGGGTGTTTAATGCTATTTATTTTAGTTTGTTCTGTAATTTTTTTAATTTCGCGCTCTTTAGGAATGAGTGAATGGTGGAGGGATGACGTTATATAGAGGAGGAGGAAAAATGGAGGAGGATGAGGAGAGGAGGGATGACTCTATAAGAGGAAGAGGGATGAATGGAGGAAGAATGATATATAAAGGAAGAGGAATAGTGTCATTCATCTTCCTTTATATATCATTCTTATAGAGAAAGAAGAATAAATGAAGAGGAGATGCCTAGTACTATATAAGAAAAGAGGAATGAATGAATGAATGAGGAGAAAGAGTAACTATTTAGCGAAGAGGAATGAATGAAGAGGAGGAGGAGGAGTAACTATTTAGCGAAGAGGAATGAATGAAGAGGAGGAGGAGGAGTAACTATTTAGCGAAGAGGAATGAATGAAGAGGAGGAGGAGGAGTAACTATTTAGCGAAGAGGAATGAATGAATGTAGAGAATAATAATATAGGCTATAGAGAAGGTGAATGAATAAATGAGGAGGAGGAGTAAGAACATTTTATGGAAGTGAAGGAAGAATAATAATAGATAAAGGAGAAGCAACGTGCGACGAAGAATGGCAAAATTTTCAAATTGATGACGACGACATTAGTAAGAACGCTACAAAACACTTCGCAAGAGATTATTTTTAATAAAACGATTGTTTAAATGGGAATATTTTAAGGCAAACAAGATTCAGGACAAAACAATCGAAACCGAAATCGTTTTTTTTTTTTTATACGAAATATTTTTCAGAGAAGAGGAAAATTGTTAAATATACAAATTTCATATAATCTAAGACTAATTCATGACAAAAATAATTTAATTAAATGTAATTTTTACATCGCACACACACCGTTTTACAATTAGAAAAAATAAAATAAAAATAAAATAACGTTTAAACGTTTAATTTATAAAGTATAAAAGGAAATAATATATTGTGAAATATTCTAAAAATAGCTTTATACAGAAACAATATGGAATATTTGAAAGCTTAATGAAAAAAAAATATATATCTAGAAATGGAAGTCGTAGCAATAAAATCAAATTTATTGAGGCGTAAATTTTATTGCTGAGAGATTTCACAAATATGAAATGAAGAGAAGCTCCAAAAAATGTGAAGAAAGTGAGGAATTTTAAGATTTTAAAACACTTTTAAAGTCTTTTCTACGTAAAAAAGTACGTTAAAATATTGGAAAATGTTAAAAATTTAATGTTGAAACTATATCAAATTTCAGTAAAGTCAGTGGAGTGAATCAATGAATAGGAAAGAGGATTGGATGAAGGAGGATGAGGATGAGGAGGAATAACATTATATAGAGGAAATTAAACGAATGGAAAAAGAAGAGAATGTAAAGGAATATTTATTTAACTTTAAATATATGCTCTCCACCTCAATCTTGCCCCTGTAAATCATACTTTTCCTGATAACAAAACAGTTATACCAGTCAATACAGTTCTCGAGATTAAGAAAGGACAGACAGACAGAGACACAGTGTGAATTTAAAATCATTCGATACGAGTAATAATAGCTTTAAAAATATAGTTTTAAAAAGTATAATGTTCTACATACGAGAATATTTAGGTTATATTTCGAGTTGAGTTGGAAATGGCAAAAGGCAAGAAATTATGGTAATTATGGAATGTCAAAGCTTTTTACGTCTAGAAACAAGTTGATCGTAGTAATAACTATTTATTAAGAGAATAACGACCCGAATTGACAATCGATATAACGAATTATACCATAGAAAAGTAGCTTTAAATCTTGTGTTATTACTGTATATAAATATATATTTTCTTTATTATTATTATTTGAATTAATGTAGAAGAAGATATAAGGCAAGGAAGTAGTAGTTGATACGTGTATAAAGGCCGTATTTACTTTTAAATATTTGCATTTTTTCAAGGTTAAATAAATACAATTTTATCTCTGAAAATAACCTTTTAAATAAATAGAAAAGATGCCGGCGTTATATCGAGGTCTTCGCTTATAAATAGAGCGATTTTCATTAAGAATTGTGTGGAAAGTTAACGTAGATACAAGCGTTATATCGAGGTACGTTAGTTAAATATATAAAAAAATATATCCGGAGAAAGAGAAATGGAGTTAATAAATGAAATTTTGGATGATATTTTTGCTGTAAAATTATTTATTACACATTTATTTCTATATAATGGCGTTATATGGAGGGATTAAAACAATCGTCGTTACGTATGGTTAAGTCGGAATTGAATGCATGACTTATAATGTTACGCCGTTATGAATTATTAACTCGTTGTAACAAATAAAATGCCAGAAAATTAATTAAAATAACGTAGAATTGAGAAAGAAAAATAAATAAATAAACCGTACGTACGTCTGTTTGTCTACTCGCAAAATTGTTCAGCTTAGTTTTAATAATACCTGTTGCTCGATGGCTTAAGGTTAAATTGTTTATTACGTTTAATACTATGATCCTACGATAAAATATGCGGAAGGTAATTTAATATATCGTATAAAAATAAATTATAATTAAATATTAAAAGCTTCCTTGTAGATTTTCGAGAGTTTTACACGAAAATTGGCGTGTCGTCGGACGTTTACGTCACCGTTTGTACCTTTTGAACCACAAGGTGTGGGTCATTCACCTTGTCTGCATTGTTGTCAGGTGCCAAAACAAAAAAAAAAAAGTGCAGAAAATATACCGTTTTAGGGAATTTTTACCATCGAATTTGGGTGAACGAACTTTTATTATTGTTAGAAAATTTAAAGCGGAGGAGGGGGAATGTTTTTTTTGACGTGTTTCCGGGAAGTTTCGAACAATGAATTCCCTTTCTTTTTATGTTAGTGATGCGATCCAATTGGTTTATTTGCATCCATGTTAAGCCATGAATAGTATCATTGAACCGTTAAAAATGAGTATAATGTATTAAATTCCGATTGAACATCGATGTTTATTGTATTCGCTTGTGTTCTTTTATCCTGTATTATTCACTAGTTTATCGGTTTTATCATTGTACACGCGTGATGACGATAATGTTTAGCTTGTTTTATGGTATTTATATGAAGATAAACGATGTTTTTTACGTGTTTAAGTTCAATTATACAAAAGAAAATTTGATTTTCGACTAGAAAAATGCTTAAAGATTATTCATTTTGATGCAAAAATTTATAAATTTAACACTTCCTAGTCTTTAAAATCGAATATAAAAGAGATACGTGGTTAAATTGATTTAAAAAAAGCTTGAAAAATTATATAATTTATCCATATAAACGTTAAAATTACGTACTTTTACGTACAGTGTATACAGTCGACCCTCCTAAACACTGTTGATTATTCCGTTTTATATGAATTTCACGTTGTACGAGTCACTTAGATTTTACAAATACTTGAGCCGTTCACAGCCCGGCACACGTATTTGTAAAATCTAAGTGACTCGTACAACGTGGAATTCATATAAAACGAAATAATCAACAGTGTTCTAGGGGGGTCGACTGTACTTAGAAGATGCATTAATTGATATCAAAAATAAAATAAATCTTTAATTATTTTAGGTGTAAGTTAATCCAGACATACAGACGTATCATCCGAAAATTACTGATTATCATAAGTAAATGACAGGTCCTTCTCCTCATCATCTTTAGAATGGAGATTAATGTTAATTAAACGAAAGGAAAGCGCACTTTATTTAATTTTCCGAATTAACGAAATATCTACTCGATTTTATTACTATTAAATAGAGTTTCTTTCGTTGTTTAAAATGTATATTTTCTTTTTTCTTCCCTCTCATTTAATGCATTTTCCTATGATAATATAGACCTAGTTACTTGAACTATTTTAGTTATTGAGGAAAGTAGCGCTCGAAAGATGGATATTTTATCGTTTAAACTACTTAATTCCCTAGTAAATAAGTCGAAAAAAGGTTATAAAAATCATAAATTACAATTATTATTATTAAATTTCGTTAAATTTCTATATTAAGAGTGATTAAAATGGGAAAGAACGAAGCGTAATCCTACGCGTAAAAGTTATTAAAATAAATAGTTTAAGACGTAATTTAATTAAAGAAATCTTAAAAAATATTAATTAATATTTAATTACTTACGATAGAAAATACAATAGACGATATAGAAGGCAATGGGACATTTAATGGAGTGCAGCAGCATCATTTGTTTTCCTATTGTTTTGGACGTTGTTTCGTTGATTAATTTTCGGACTTTTCGACTCTCTCATTCATTTCTCAACACTGACAAACCGAACAAAATTCTCTCGATTAATGTACATCACCGGAAATCACGTGTCCTCACGTCACGTCCTTTTAATACGATTTACATTCGTTTCCAAGGCAACAATATATACGTTTTTTTTTTTGGCACACGTGGTCTACTTTACGAAAGTTATCTGGGTGAATTTATATATCGATTAACTAAATATTAATCAATTAAAAAGTTTAGTCAATCAATTAATTAATTAATTTATATTTTCTTTCGTTATTTAAAGGAGCAAGGGGGATGCTTGAAAGATAATTCAGTTATTTAAGGAGGTTCTTTGATTTAAAGTGTGTGTCCTTATTATCTAAATATTAATAATATCTAATGCTTAGTTATTAATGATACAACGTTAGAGTTCATTCCACTTATTTAATGTTAAATTATCAATAAAATATATCCGTTTCTAAGAATTACTCTTGGATGAAACATAAAATTTGATAGAAAATATTAAAGAGAATCGTAAAAGATTTCGACATGAAAATCAACTTAATTCAATTTTTTGAATTTTTAACAGTTATTTGGTGGTTCCTATTGGCTTTTTATACGTTAAAATACGGTTTAATCTGCTCTATTTAACCACTGATCATCATTAACTCTAGTGTTACGCTCTGATACTGATTTAAGGTAAGTTTCGAAATCTAGCGATTTAATAATAAAATAATGAATATATTAATATATATATTTAAAATTACTTTTGTATTTACTCAATAATAACATTCAATTATAAAAAGAATTTTAACTATTATTTTACTTTTAAAATTTTCAGGACATGAAAACCATTATTTTATTTCTCATTTGTCTGTATTCCTCTCATGTGATCCATGGAGAAGGAATCGTCCATACATTAACTGGAAGTATCACAGGAAAGAAGATAAAAGTTCTTTATAACGATGTTTATGCATATTTAGGAATTCCTTATGCACAGCCTCCAATCGGTGATCTCCGGTTTCGAGCGCCGNATATTTTGCATATTTAACAAAATAATACGAATTTTAAATATGATTAGATGTAAAATTCTCATTTTAATTCTAATTTTTATTCATAAATCGAGCTTATACGGAACGTCTACTCTCCAGGTTGACCAAATAGAAAATGGCGTAAGTTGGAAATTTGATCATTTCTTCCTCTTCGGGAAAGGTTTTTACGCTTATTTAAACTCGAAAAATTTATTTAATGTAGAAAAAACTTATAGATCTGAAGGTATGAAGGTTTGTTTTTGGTCAGCATTTTTTACTGAAGAACAAACCGTGAAGAACGGACAATATTCTATTATATTCATTGGAAATTTCGTAGAAGGGAATATATCGATAATTCACGCCTTTATCGTTATGTCTGATGGCTCTTTACAAATTATCTTTACAGATAATCGAAGGAGCGTAACCGCATCGACTAAGATTAATACTATAGATTTCCACTGTCTCTATTATTACATATGTTACTCAGTTAAAATAACGAAAGGATCAATATTTGATAGGAATAATCATTTCGAAATTACCGTATTTAATGATAATCAAAGATTAAATGTGTTATTAGGTAAACCTTCATTTCTCCTCTTAACTCCATTAGGATCGTGTGTAGGAAGCGATAACCATGAAGGATTTTTATATTGGAGCTTGGCTTCAATGAAGGTTTGGCATTCGATCAACGAAGAAGAATCGAATTTAGATATTTGTCTTAAAAATCCTTGCAGTGTTGATGAGTTATGCTTACCCCTTCCAGTGGCATCGACGAGAAAATGCTTATGCCAATCTTGCGTGGATTCGGTTGGTTGTTACAATGGAGGAACTCGTATAAAACTCGAAGAAAATGCAATCTGTATATGTCAACCTAATTATAAAGGCATTAGTTGTGAGTCTGTAAGCTTAGAAGGTCAATTACACATCGATTTAACCTCCCAAATTTTATTTATTAACGAAACTGCAACCATTCATCTGGTCTCTAACAAGTTAAACAACTCTCTAAACGTCAATTGGATATTGGATAATGATACAATTTTCCAATATTCTAACGATAAAAATTGTTCTTCGTGTATTGAAATCGTTCATGGTCCAAAGATTCTAAGTTATTATTTACTATCCAACGTATCTGAATGGTATTTAAATGTTACATTTACTTCGAAAGGAATTCATTATTTAATCATAGAAACTGAAGAATCGATCTTTAGAAACTTGACTTTTGCCATTAGCGAGAGGATCGAAAAGATAATCCTCATTACTAAATCTTATTTTGGGCAACCTGGCCACGAAATTATCTTCCTTTTAGGTGTTAGCAATGTGGGCCTCATGCCCGAATTCATCTGGAAAATCAATAAGTCCGAGTTTCATTCAGAGTTACCAGAATCTATAAGCCAACGAGATATACTTGAATTTTTTCCGTCCAATAAGATTCCAGGAAACATAACGAAATTTATTAGACAAAAATGGATTTTCGAACGATCTGGACTTTATAATATTAACGTCACAGCAAAAGCAATGGGAAGAATTGACGTCATTGTCAACCATTCCGTTTACATTATCTCGAAGAGCGACACGTACAAGTTTTACACCAATGCTACCATTGCCGAAATTAATGGTGGATTATCTTTATTTTTATTATCAGTCGAAGATAAAGTCGATACAGAATACATTTTTACAGTCGATAATGAAAATATATCTATTCAAAATGGTTTATCATTAGGTAAATCTCGGTTAGAGATTCCTCAGGAGTATCGAGTTCTTACAGACTTTTTCTATTACGCGAACGTAAATGTTACGTTTAATATTACTAAAATATATTATGTGGGTGTAATGGTTAAGCATAAGAATGAAGTAATGTTTGAGAAGATAATTGAAGTAGCAGTAGTGAAGAAACTGTGCAAACCATCAGTAGATATACTCAACGCTGGATCAAGTGAATCTTTTGTATACTTACGTAAAGATCCAATTGTCTTAAGATCTATCACTAAATTTAACTGTGATATTAAGATAAGACCTCGATGGCAATGGGTATTATTTGATTCTTTTAAAAATTCCATAGATATACCTCTTGTAAGCAATTTAAACTACTTGTCCATACCAGAAAAAACTTTACCCTATGGCACTTACGGTGTTAAACTAGTGGTAAAAATATGGCAGATGAATAGAATCTTATCCGATGAAATAATTAAATGGTTTAATATAAATTCGAGCAGACCAATAGCCAAAATCTCTGGTGGAATCGAAAGGATTATCGATTCAGACGAGGACTTAATCTTAGATGGATCATCATCGTATGATCCAGATTTTGATAATGCTGATATGAATTTCGTTTGGATTTGTTTAAAAGGTGAATGCCCATTTAAAAATATTAAAGAAAGGAAGATTATAATAATACCAAAAAACAATTTAAAAGTAACGAAATATATTATTTCTTTAACTGTCGATTATGAAAATCGCCAATCTCTACCGTTTAATCAAGAAATTGAAGTTATACAAGATCATTTACCTATTGTTTCTATAACCTGTTTATCTAATTGTAATTCAGGTGTTAATCCTTCTGAAAAGTTTGCTCTGAAAGTGAATTGTAAACATTGCAGCATTGAATCAAAATTTTTATGGAAAATGTTACCTAAAGAAGGGAATTTAAAGACTTTTATCAATTGGAACGAAGAAACTCTTTATGGAAACTCATCAAAATTGTTATTAATCCATCCTAACGTAATGAAAGAAGGAGATTCGTATTTATTTACTGTAACAATTGAAGGAAATAATCGAAGCCAAGCACAATATAGAATAACCATCGATGAGAAACCTAAAATTGAAAAATGCATTGTGAAACCCGAAAAGGGTATATCATTAGAAACCTTATTTACAATTGATTGTTATGGTATTTATGATAAAAACATGCCTATAATCTATCAATTTTTCTTCGATAATAAATTAAACCGTGATAAATTTCTATTGAGGACTAACGTGTATCCAAAAATGATCGAGACTTTTTTACCAATAGGAAATCCTCGTAACAATTATGAAGCTTGTATTACAGTTATGTTAATTAATGGAATTGGCATACGAACCGAAATCGATTTGATTGTTCACGTTTTCCCTCCAGTTTCCTCTTCCGATACGGTAAAAAGATGGATAAAAGACAAGAAATTGGATACAATATTGAATACTGGAGATAATGAAGAAGTTAACGTGATACTTCAGATCCTTTCTGAGATTTTAAAAAACAATTCCGATGGTTCACGTTATGGCGATGAATTAATTAATATCATTAACAAATTGCCCTTAATTAATACTTTTAGTATCAAGCAATCTTCTCACGCTTTGCATTCATTGTGCCAAAGTGATGAAGAGTTTTCTGATGATTCCAAAGTGAAATTAACAAAATTTATAGAGAAAACAACCGAATCTTTCTTACGATTTACAGAAACTCAAGTTTTACTACTATATGAAAAATTTAATACAGCTAAATCAATATATTCGAGTTCTTCAGGAGTTTTACGTGCTGTAATGGGGAAGAAGAGCAATTCAAATGTTACTTTATATGATGAAAATGGAGTAAATAATGATAATTATTATTATTATTATCAACCAAGCAATAGTCTTATTTGTAGCCTAGGATCAAAGATCGTTAACCTCACTGAAATCGTTACGGATATTTTAATGAAGGAAATTATTGCTAATGATAATTATACAAGTATCAATTCAGATTCATTCGATGTATTTTTAAAGAAATACGACGAAGATAATGCTACTGAACGTAATTTAGCTGATATCATTTATATTTCTGAGAATATATTCGGAGGAGAAGAGAAGATTAAGATGATCATAAATAGAATTAATCCATTTATATGCGATGAAAATAGCCATTTAATAAATACGGATACTTTGATAGTTGATGTAAAACACAAGAAGAAGATAGAAAATATCAAAGTAGATTCATTTCTAAGAAGAAAAGATGGTGTTAAAAACACACAAAGTGGAAAGGCCGAAGTTATACTTCATAACAACGGAACTACTTGTGACGTAACTATTTCTATACACAGGACTATAATTCCTAATAACAACTTTTCTATGCATTTATCTTTAAATGTTTTAACACCAAAAACTTCTTTCTTATACACAATAACTAATACTAAACCGACTATAGAAGATTTTACAAAATGGCATCGCGTCATTACGTATTGTAAACAGGATAAATATTTCATTAATATACCCGAAAATATAACAAAAAAGAATGGAATATATTTCATAGGAATCTTACCTTATTCAGCCTTAAGTATGAAAGTCCTTAATTTAAGCAAGAAAATAGAAAAACGTATTGAAGAGAGAGTATCCATGGAATATAATTTAGACATTTTCTTTACAAGATGCTTTTCTTATAACGAATCTTGGACCGATAATGATTGCCACGTGGGAAACAATTCTACTGATTTAACTTTGCATTGTATTTGTTCGCATTTATCTGTATTTAGTGGTTCATATTTTGTGGCTCCAAACACAGTCGATGTCACCCAAACTGTAGTTTTACTAGGGACTGTCACGGAAAATCCTGTCGTGTTCATCTGTCTTATTATTATATGGACAATATATATTGTTTTCTTATTCTGGGCTAGTAGAATAGATAGGAAGAATGCCAAGAATAGAATTAAAATAATATCATCGAATCATTCGGAAAGTAATTACTATTATGCAATATTAATATCTACTGGAATTAGTAAAAATTCCGGAACCACATCAAATGTTTACATACAATTAGAAGGTTCGAGTGATAAGAGCCAAATTATATTGCTTACAGATCCCGAAGAAGAATATTTTAAAAGAGGAAATGAAGATAGATTTATTATACAATTGGACAATTATATAGGAGCAATAACGAGAATATACGTTTGGCACGATAATAGTGGATTGAATCCAAGTTGGCTCTTGGATAAAATTGAAATTCACGATTTAAATATGAAACAAACTTTGATTTTTCCTGGAAGATGGCTCGCTGTAAACAAAGAGGATGGACAAATTTCTACATCTTTAGATCCTGTAGATTTTTTACGTTACAAAGTTTTATTTTCAAAGGTATTTATTTATCAATTTCGCGATCATCATATTTGGTTTAGCCTGTTTTTTTCTTCGCCAAGTTCGGATTTTACTCGTTGTCAAAGAGTAACTTGTCTTCTGAATATCCTATTGGCATCAATGTTGGCTAGTATAATGTTTTATGGTATCGATGTTTCAGATCCTCGAGATCAATTAGAAATTAGATATTTTAAATTTTCTCTTAGCGAAATGATTATTGGAATTCAGAGCTCAGTTCTTGCATTTTTTGTTGGTATTATAATGGCTGGTATATTCCGAAATATTCGCAATGAAAAAGCATTAAAATATACAAAATCTTTCCAAATTTCTTCAATAATGGATACAACTGCTATATTTTTAAGAGAAAAACTTCTCCCTCCTTGGTTTAATTATATTGCTTGGTTTATTACCCTAGCAACATCACTCATTTACACGTATTTTATATTATTATATGGATTAACTTATGGATATGAGAGAAGTATGCGATGGTTAGCCTCTATATTTACTTCTCTTATCGGTAGTATTTTAGTGTTACAACCGGGAAAAGCAATTATTTTTGCAGCCTTTATAGCCTACTTTCTCGCCAAAAAGTCTAAACAATTAAAGATAAACCGAAGAAAGAAGATATCGAAAATTGATATTCCATGTGGTATCTCCCAAAAGGAACTTCATCATTACAGATACTTGAAGAACAAAGAATCTATAATATTATCAATATTATCAGACAGTTTTCTATTTATATGTTTTACCATAGCTATACAAACTTTAGCGCACCATAATCGAAGCCACATGGCATATTTTTCGAACATTGCAACGAAACACACCTTTATAAAAGGAGCTTATGGAGGAATACCATTAACAGACGTAACGTCGTTGCAACTTCTAAAAAAATATCTCAATACTACGTTAATAAATGGTATACACAAGGAAAAATGGTATAATGGTGAGAAAATGGAGAATGGATACATTGCGGATGGTTTCACATTGCTAATAGGTGTGGCTCGCTTGAGACAAGTAAGAGTTAAGTATTCTCATTGCTCGGAACAGATAATACCTTTAAAATCATATTGCTTCCTTCAATACAGTTTATCTTCTGAAGATAATAGAAATTACAGACCCAGTTGGATAAGAGGAATGGCCATTCCTCCTTATACAAAGAAACCAAATCCATGGATGTTTCGAACTGCAGAAGAGTTAAAAACTGATTGGAAATTTGGAGAAATAAATATTTATCCAGGTAATGGTTACGTTGCTTTATTAGGAAGAAGAAGAAAATCTTCTCGAAGCAAACTTAAACATCTGTTAGATCGTAATTGGATCGATTCCCGAACTAGGGCACTCTTCGTAGATGTTACAACGTATAATGCAAACAACAATATATTTAATTCTATTAATTTAATCTTCGAAATATCTGGTATAGGAAACGTGATACCATCATACAATATCAGGACATCAAACTTTGATATCTTCGTTCAAACGAGCAATCTTCAAGCGGGTATCAGCGAGATGGCATTCTTCATTTTAATAACGATATTCACTTATAGAGAAGGGAAAAGTTTGTATAAATTAAAAACGAATTATTTAAAAAAATTTTGGAATATATTCGAATTGATTTTATTATTATTCGGTTACGTTTTTATAGCCGTAACGATCAAACAAACTTTAGGTATTTCGGGATTATGGAAGAAAGATGAAGAACTCGAGTACGTAAGCTTCAAAAGTTCAGCTAAATGGGACGAGATTTTCTTAATTATACAATCGATTTTAGTAACTTTAACTACATTGAAATTATGGAAGATTCTTTCATTTATTCAGGCATTTAAATTACCTTATGGTACATTAAAAATTGCTTACAAGTCCATTGCACATTTTGCTCTTATGCTGTTTCTGTTAATGATTTCCATAATGAGTTTCTGCGTTATAAAATTTGGTAAATGGGTGAAAAACATGAGAAATTTCTTGCAGACAATGTATTCTTTAATGAATTACTCTTTGGGAGAGATAGAATACGAAGAACTTCTTAAAGTTGATAAGTTTCTTGGTCCACTCTTCACATTCATCTTTGTCATCGTCGTTTCTTGGCTTTTTCTAACGCTAATTATTAGTATTTTGATAGATTCATTTCATACAACTCTAACCTTAAAAAAGAAGGAAGAATCTCGTCTTGAAGTAACTAATTATATTTACCACCAATTGAAAATTTTATTCCGGAAAACTTCGATCTCTTGGATCGAGCACGTCCGTAAGAAATGCAAGAGGAATCAAGATGGAGGAAGAGATGATGGTGCAACCAATCTAAACTAATTTACCGTTTTAAGTTGTAAATAATAATAATAAAAATTATTAAACATTTGAATTACATTCCGTTAAATTTATAATAAATTTTACGCAATAAAATAAATTAAAAAAAATCATATAATTTATAACAAATTAACGGAAAAAAATAAATAAGATACACGTTTCGCCATCTGTTATTCGTAAAAGCTATTAAAATTCCGACAATAAAAAAAAATGTAATAATAAAGCAAGCTAAAACGCGATTGGTCGGAACGGAAGATAAATTTGAATATTAACCAATAGAGCTCCTGGAAAACAATTATAGTAAATTATCACGTTACTTTTCTACCGAATGACGTGGAGGTCATGTATATGCAAGCTAACTTCCTCTCCTCCCCCCCGAAACCACGTGACAGATACTCGACGTCAAGCAACTTTTGCTGTAGTTGTTATTATATCCTGAATGTTGTATGGGTTACACGTGTTGGCATTGTCAATGGCACTGTTCAACACGTTTCACCGATTATAAATTATGCCTGTGATCGGGGTATGTTAATGTGATGATCGATCTATTTAACAGGATTTCAACTTGAACAATGGAAAATATGTTAAGGTTACATTATCTAGCGGCATTTATACTGTTAAACTTGGAAATACAAGGTAAATTTTATTTATTGTGCTTTAATTATTAGACTATATATTGTGTTTTATATGTGTAAGTGCAGTTTAGAAGATCCTTCCAGTGTTTAAGTAAACATTTGGCTAGTGTTTTTATAAAGATTTACGAAGGAAATACTTATATCTTGTATGTAAATTGCCGTAGATAGAGGGGTGTAAATGAGAGTTTAGAAACACCCGAGTGTTATGTAAATTACAATGACTTCGCTGCCTTTCTTTTGTTCCTTGAGACCTCGGTAATGTAGGCCTTCATCATTAGTATAGGCCTATATAAATTACAATAGATAATTATAAATAAACGAATGGGTCATGTATAAATTACAATTGTTCTTTCAACGCCTGGATAACACAACGTAGGAAATCTGTTTATTTATGGTAAAAAATGGGAGAAAAATAAGCATAAAAGGCTTAAAAGTTATCTATAACCTTGTAAGTAATTAACATAATTATTCGATTAACATGTTAGCAAGGTAAATGATAATTGTGTATGGTTATTTATACACATCCGGATGATAAAATATGCTTAGGGACGTAGATAATACCAGTGCATATGTTATTTTGTATAAAAACATTATCCATTTATACTGGTATTATCATCAGGATCTCCTCTTCCTCACTTAATCTATACAGAGATCTGCACAGATTAAGTGTTATAAAAGTGGTAAAATATGTGCGAATTAACTTTAGTTAATGATGCTATTCTGTGTAAATTCGACTTAAAACTAAAATAAACTTTGTAATTTTACACGCTACACGAGTATAAATCACTTTATTCCACCCAGTTTTTCGTGTAGGATGTAAGGAATTTGTTTACACAGAAGTAATATTTATTGTATACTGACGTGTGAAATAAACAATTTACCATCTCTTCGTGTTTTTATTTGCGCTTAAATTAATATTTAACTGCAAATAAACACACACACACACACATATACATCTCACATCTCTGTTTACGATATAATGGGAAGTAGCATTTATTGTTAGATTGTTCCATCCATCGTGACTTATCTCAAGTTGCAGGTGTGATGATGGTTCTTAATAATAAAACTCTATCCGGGCTTTAGTAACATCACGAAAATTCCCGAGTTAGATAAAAAAAAGGGGAGCATTCTCTCGGTTAACTGACCGAAAAAAAGTCATTATACTCAAGTGCATTCATCCAGTTTTGTGTAAACATTTTGTATGTGATCATCATTAACCTTGCTTAGTGTACTAACGTTGATTGAATCATTAAACACTTTAAGAATCGATTCATCATTTTAAGTTTAACGCCCTTTTATAATTACAGTTGACCCCCCTATAACACTCTTGATAATTCAGTTTTATATGAATTCCATGTTGTACGAGTCACTTAGATTTTACAAATACGTGAGCCGTTCACAGCCCGGCACACGTATTTGTAAAATCTAAGTGACTCGTACAACATGGAATTCATATAAAACGGAAAAATCAACAGTGTTATAGGGGGTCGACTGTAAAGGTAGAAATTACTGTTATATAAATTTAATTAATATTAAAGGAATGTGTATGTTTATTAATGAATCTTCACCACGTTCTTATGTAAATTACATTATAGAATCATGATTAAGTTATGTAATGAAAATCGCCTTTTAACCTTAAAGAGTATACACATGTATACTGTTTCTACCTACATACCAGTCGACCCCCCTATAACACTGTTGATTATTCCGTTTTATATGAATTCCATGTTGTACGAGTCACTTAGATTCTACAAATACGTGCGCCGGGCTGTGAATGGCTCACGTATTTGTAAAATTTAAGTGACTCGTACAACATGGAATTCATATAAAACGGAATAATCAACAGTGTTATAAGGAAGGGGGGTCGACTGTACAGGTAGACAAACATGAACTAGAACTTTATTTCTTTCTACTTCCTGAACAAGTAAGTAGGTGATGACCTCGAATGGATGGTCATCTTCCCATTTTTGACCGGTTTCGACTCCCACAAATTTTATTTTTGATGATTACATAATTCAATAGTAGTTAAAACAATTTTATTATGGTCAATACGTCTTCCTGTTTATCTATAGCTAAACACTACTACGAACAAACCATAAAGACATTAGTAAATTAATATAATTTCGAGTTTAAATGGAGGATTTACTTGATTGATGAGTTATAAGTACGGTTGCAATTCTCCACTCTGTAAACTTAATTGAGGATATTATTATATACACGATCCTCATTATATTAACATTCCTTAAAAGAATGATTAATATAACACCTACCTACACATTAAATCGTGCGTGTTAAACTCGAAAATATGATAAAGTTTCTTTTTTAATTCGCCATATTTACGAGAAAAAGAGAATGATTTATCGCTCCTTAAGAAGAAAAAAAAAATGGCGTGTTTCAAAATGGCGTACGTAACTGTGCCTTTTGATGCATGTTCATTCCCATAAATGATATCAGATTTTTGTTAATGCTTTATTAAGGAAAGCGGAAGAGATATTTTTAATCAAGGATGAAATTTCATTAATATATTTTATATTCCAAACACACTACAAGAGCTTCGACTTACGTAAAACCAATTTCAAAATTGATTTACGTTGATGCAGTTAAAGAAAATTCAATTTTATACATTATTAATTCTTCTATAAAACTAAAGCAGAAGTTTATTATTAATAAAAAGTTTCTATATTTTTTTTTATATAGGCCTATATTTTAGTCTACAATCTTCTTGTCCATAGAGATGATATATTCTTCGAGCGCTTTGCAATTAANTTATAACTCGAGGATTTTTCAGTGTTTTTTCTTTTTTATTACTGTATAACAATAATAAAAAAATTTTTTTTATTACTGTTATACGGTAATAAAAAATATACTTTTATTAAATTTTTTTTATTACCGTATAACAGTAATAAAAAAAGTATGATCATGTAGTAGTATCTGATTAAATTTTTATTAAAATTGTAAAGGGTCAACGTACAAAATATATATATAGTTTTTAAATGAATGGCTGACATAGAAAAAAAAGCCAGCAAAATTCTCCAACCGTTAAAAATATGAATGCCATGCAAAATATTAGAATGAAACAAAATAAATAAAATTTTTATGGTTAAAAATTCTTCCTCAAACATAACTAAATTATAAATTTTTAAAAATATATTTTAGAAATTATCCTGTGCACTGATATATATAAAGAAAATGAAATCATGCGTGCATCCAACCTAGTTTCCAGAAAATTACAGCAAATTGGTTGGGCCATGCATGGGTTGTCTTTGTTTTTCCTCTTAAGAATCACTAGAAAATGGCGTGAGAAATTAAGTCAAAAGACTTTAATATCATTTCTTTTACGAATCTTGATTGATTAACTGTAAAGATGACACGTTTCATTACTTTTTTATTGGTTATTTTATTCCCAGGTTGTCATTTTTACATTAATATAACCCAAATTACTTTACTCCCTCGGAGGTATATCTACAAGTTGAAAGTTTTTAAGGCATTTTACTATAAAAAAATATCCACTGTAATGTCTTTTTAACCATATAAGAATATGTAGGAAGTGATACAATACGAGATATCCTATTTTGATACCTCACCAGAGATACGCTGACCCCATTGAATTAATAAATTCCTCTTGGCACAGGTTGTTTATAAAATAATAACTTAATTATTTAGTAATTATAATTATGCCTTTTATGTATATACATTTTAAAAAATTGGATGTATAGAAGCTGTTGAAACAAAATAAAATTAATGAGGAATACCTCAGTATGATCGACGATGTGGATCCATGCGTGGGGCCAACTACTTAATTTTTTTTTTTCTCCCATTCTATTTATTAATCTAACACCATAACCTTTATATTTATATAAGGTTAAAGAGTATCTTTTTCCCTATTTTTGCTGTATTAAATATTAAAAAAAATAAGGGTCACCCTGACATTGAATCGAGACATTGTTTTGACTCATCTAAAGGAAAAAAAAGGCCTTCGTATTCGTGACTGTTCGCATTCATAAAACCTGTTTGTAGGTCAGAAACAATGTTAGATACATTAATTCTACTACAACAATAAAATATATATATATATATATAAAAGAAACGTAGATTATAATTTTTACTTCATCAATATCATATTAGAANCGTTCACAGACCGGCACACGTATTTGTAAAATCTAAGTGACTCGTACAACATGGAATTCATATAAAACGGAAAAATCAACAGTGTTATAGGGGGGTTGATTTGTATGTACCTTATTTCACGAAAATGCAAACCAATAATGGCTTTTTTTTTAATATTAATTGTACGCTTTCAGAAAGAGCCGTTTAATTATAATAAAATGCCAGTATTTGATTGTAATTAAGCGAATTTAAATTTAGCATTTTATTTACATAATTAAT